GCTCTTCACTTACAAAGGTAGGCCAAAAACCATGAAATATGTGTGATGTTATGGAGTTGAGGCGTGTGTTGGCTACAACCATAACGAACATGATATTGAAGCAAGACGTGGTGGCGTTTGGACAAACTGCACCCTCACTTGGCACTCTGGCTCGCTTTTCTATAATAGAATCCATTATAGATGATACTAATAAGCATGCCGAGTGGAGATGTTGGACTGGTGAACATACGCAACGAATGAGTCGGCTTCCCGTTGTTTCCAGTGAATATCCTTGGCAACTAATCAACAGTGTCTTTGGATGCTTATAGGAAAATTTAACATGGTGGAGGGATGGGCAGACAAATTGTGCCAGGGAGTTGCAATGAATTTCCACCGAGAACATGCTTTCTTTTCTACTATGAAGATGACTCTAAACGTTGAAGATAATCCTCGTTTGGTAGAAAGCTTGATATAACAACCACACGAAGAAAGATCAAGCACTCACATAGTTTAGTTTAGATATACTATAGCTGTTTAGAGCCATTGATCCGGCGCGCTACTTCATCCAATACAGCATCAAGAGCAACCTTTCACGGTCTAATAACCATCCAATGTTCGTGTAGAATAAACTAGCTGAGCAACTTTCCAGGCAAACTCATTGAAAAATGAGTGGGTATTGGTTGGAGGCAGCGACTCCCATCATTCGGAAGATTTGAGTGAGAACTATGTTGCAGTTTATCGTGATCGCTCCATTATTGGTCCTAAGAGAGGGGTCAGATATCTGAGGAGGAGGTACATCAACATCATATCAATCTTGTCACTAGCTGCTTGCGTTACTTCTAGATCTGATGGAGTGTTATAGGCTAGGATTAATTTTGATGATGATGCTAGAATTAGGCTCTTGTTTGAGTCTTCAAAAAGCTTTGTTTCACCTAATGCTTATGAGAAGCTAGGCTAATGCTTGGTTTGTGTCTAAATTTTGTCTGATATACTTTCTCCAATCCGTTTCATTTGTAGTGAAGTGTCAGTTGCTATTCGCCATTTTGATTCTCGCTACGACCTGTATTATTGAAAGGATCGTACAAGCTAGGATAGTGCTCGCTAGGCTTGGAAGTTTCAACGTATTGCATGGAAATGTTCTTGACATCCGGCTCTTAATTTAGTTCCGATGAAAAACTCAGACGTATTTGACTCGCTCGAGTTGGATGGATTTGAAGGTGCCACGTCCCATCTCGACTATCGAGTGCGAGTGCAAACTATAGATGACAACCCAAAACGGGTCGAGTGATGAATGAAAGTTGCATCTCTTGTACTTGAATGGATTTTGTTGTCACAATCGACGTATCTGGAATTGTGGACACTATGGGAACTCCTCGATCGATCACCGTTCGAGCTATGAAATCTATGCTTTTGAATCCATCGATAGATAGGATGTCAAATAAAGTGGATATTTGGCGTTATTCCATCTCTAGTATGAAGCTATCTACATCCGATAAGACATGGTGGTGGGCTTCGATGCAAGCGGTTGTGGCGGCGCGACTAGTAGCAAGGAGCGTTCTGAAAGGCTTCGTGTGAAATTCTTGCTATGTCTCGTGACATTTGAGGAGGTTGAGGTTGAAAGATTTGTCCATCACAATATGTGGCGGCTTCCTCACTTGGAGCTAGTTTGCAAAAGCCTATATTTTTTTGTTGTTTGTTAACCTTACAATATCGATGACATTGGGAACGAATGTTGATGATGTCCACATAGCGAGCAATTAAGCTCCTGAATCTCATACTGAACCGAGAAGGGTTGCACTAGCGCATGTTGCGCTATAGCCTACAATAGTGGAGATCCAGCCTGGTTGCATATTGATTGCGACACAAAAGCGAAGAATTAATCTCAACGAATTATCGTCTTGGATTGCCAATACAAACTCCACTTGAGCAGTCACCTTGTATGTGAAACTTTGATACTCCTGTGATATTTATGGGAAAAAAATTCACATTTGTCACTAAAGTTCTTGATGTATACAGAGATTGACGCTCTGCATTCACTTATGGTATATAATTGTGTCACCGATGAATGAATGAAAGCCTCTTGTGAAGTGTCGGTGAGTGATTTTGTGGCCGTCGCATCTGAAGTATATATTATATGGATTTTGACGTATGTGAAGGAGTAACTTACCTAGAACTACAATTCCGCTCAACGAGTTACATCATGTATTGAGAACATCATCTTGAAGATCTATGTCGACGACACATGCAATTATTACGTGTGTTCTAAGTGTGAAAATCTCGTTGGTTACAATAGCTTGTGAATGTAGGTCCAAATCAAAGAAAATTATGCCGCGCACCATAAGGCCTTGATGATTACGAAAGTTATTACGTGGGAGAGATCTTCCATCTTTGCTATGAAATCAGTTTATTGTGACTCTATTGAAGGGCTCTTTGTCCAACACTATGCGAAGTGGATTTATTCCAATGATTGTCTATCACCTGTGGTGTATGATACTCGCCAATTGATTGCTCTAGTATGTCCATGTAGCTCCGGCTAGACGCCGCCATGATGTCATAACCCTAACTCTTCAAAACAAAGACAAATCTCATCAAAAATCTATTTGAACTATTTCTAACAGCGATGCGTTTAAGAATTCGGTTCAAAATTTGCAACACATCATTACCGCATGCATAGGATTAGTCGTAGAGTGTGTGTCCCAATGTTGCATTCGCCATCGCTCATTGTCTGCATCGCTCCATCCTTTTGTTCCATCTACAACTCATAATTTATTCTTTTGATTTGCAGGGCTTTTAGCTACCATGCATGTGTTGTTATGGTAGTTGTGTTCAAAGGTAGTCATTTTTTTGTCGCACGTATAAAGCATGGATTGCGCAGCAAACAAAATTTATAGATTTGTTCTTTGTGCATCTACGGCCCTAGATAAATAAAATTGTAGTGAATATTTGGTAAATGAAGTAAGTAAGTCATTCACACTCTACAAGCTTGCCAAAATCATAATATCAAAGCTCTATTTGACTTATTGTTTTAGATAATTAACAAAAGACACACTTTTTAACCGTTCTATTTACTTTATGCAAATATAAGAAATGTGAAAATGTATGCAACTTTTTTTATAAATGTCTTACGGATTTCTTCATATGAAATTAAATATAAAATATAATAATATTTCATGTTTTAAAGATTTAAAAAAAACAAAAAATTCATCAAAATATCTGGTTCCCTGAAACCTTTATTATGTATGATTACATTGTAAGAGATGCTTTCCATATTGATCTCATTCAAGTTGAGTATTTGCAAGTGATGACTTCAGGTGATTGTGTTTCTTGCCTGCATTCCAACATCTCAATAACAATTTTTTATAACAATGTTATGCACATTTCTTTAAAAAAAATTCGGCTCTATTTAATTATGTAAATAAAGATTTTTGAATCTATGATGAAATGAGCAATTGTAATATTAAAATGCAATTGGATTGAGTGATCTATTTCAAAATTTTGATAATGACCAACTTATTACAGTGTTTCCTGCAACATGAACTTACAAAAGTTTATCATATAATATTATTTTGGATTTATTTAACCTGACAATAACATTTAAACCGCCTGGAATATTGGAGAGTGTCGATAAAATCTATGGGATCCAAGTAAATAGCAAAAAGTACTGAAGATCCCACCAAGCTCACGGATGAATAAATCAATCTCCGCGAAAAGATGCATAAAAGTAACTTCTTAATCGAACATAACATGATATTATGAACTTGAGGATTGCCGAGATATTTGCTTGATGGTACCCTATCCAAACGTAAATTGCTTACGGTACCCATCAAGTTTCAATTTACCCGATGGGACACCACGGATGGTGTGCCGTTGCTGAGTTTTAGTAGTGTTTACACTGTTCTAGTATGAACAGACGACAGTGCTTGAGTCACTCTTTGTGTTACCTTTGGCACATGATACTTTGTTTCGCCGTTGGCATCGCATTGCTCCGTAAAGTCTAGCCCTGCTGAACCACTCTATTGGGAAGAATGGGACGGTAAGGTGGGGAAAATGAAAAAATAGCTCGAAGCGTGGATGTCGCGGAAATATATTCGAATGATCTATCAGCTTTCTGAAGTGGTGCTACAATTTCAGGTGTGTCATGTATTTGGCGATGAGAAAATACATGTACTAGAACTCAGCTACGACACACCATCCCTGGGGTGACATCGGGTAAATTAAAACTTGATGGGTCCCATCAAGCAATTTACGCGTGGCTGAGTCCCATCAATCAAATCTCTCGAAGATTGCCATACTCTAAAGACTTAAGTGCTCCCGCTTATTGTAAAGCTAATCTACATCATTTTTGTGAACTAGGTGCTACACTTATTCATGATTCCTTGCCCAGTAGAGTGACTGGATGCGGGATGAAAGCATTGAACAGTGGATTCACATCAAAAACTCTCCCTCCAGGCTACATTTGTTTGTAGTGAGACATCTAACTATTTAAGATAGCAATCTTTTTAATTGAAGAATATAATTGACACATTTCTTCTTTTAGAACTTTACTGACTATTTTCTAGCTATATGTTATATTAAAATAAAATATGAGAAATAATTTGAAAATTTGACCAATTTAGCATGTGCAGTAATTGTCAGGTGATCTGAAGACATTTTCTTTAAATTAATATCTTATTTAAATTAGACCAAAGACTAGAAAATATTGCATTGATATATCCTCACTACTCCAAATCTAAATTAGATCAATACAATATCCATGAATATAATATATAAAATTTCGGTATTCACATCTTACAAATAAGGATTGAGATTTCCATATTATGATCTACTCGCCAGTTGATTTTTGACGATTGTGTATGGACAACTTTTTGTGATCACGCTTTTATATTCTCACTGCTGGAGTTAATCAACCGGATCAATAGTTTGACAATACGTAATCGCAGACGCGATCGCAGATCCAGAATGACTTTTCGACCCGTGATTTGCCAATCGCACATCGATGTCGTGATTTTGAATTTTCACACAGAAAATGAGAAAATGAGGTTGGACATGCGCCGACTCCCGCATCCCTTGCAGCGGTGCAGAGAGCGTTGACTCCATCGCATCCGGACCGGCCAACAATCATCCCAAATGAATGAGATGGCGCAACGTATAACACTGTACTGGATAGATGGGCCGACTGAGCCGGAGGGAGGAGTGGGGCCTTTCATGCAGCCAGAACAGAGAAGATCGTTCCGACATTCATGTCCGAGCCAGCTTTTCACGTATAATTTGCGCGCTGCATTGCAGGGACGAGATTTGATTTGATGCTTTGGCGAGCGTGTGGGTGCACGTTCATGTGCTCGGTGTCTGCATTTGAGGGCGGCCGAAGATATTGACTCTGTCACCGCGAAAGCGTTGTTCCTGGATCACGACATTTGAGCAATTCTCGTACTCATTCCCCAGTTCTGCGATTGTGAAGAAGCCTGGTAAGGAGTTTGCAGATCATGTCATCTGTTCTCTGTGGAAAGACAGGATCATCGAGTACGTGCCTGCGGCTCGGTGCGAGTGATACGATCTTGAAATTGGCTACTTTAAATCTACAACCTTTGGGCAACTAGAATTTTACGAATTCCGAGCAAACATAGTGATTTTGATCGTCGATAAAAGGGGAACTTGGATTAATTGGCCGGAAAATAAAGGCCGTAGATGATGTGTTCAAAAACTGCTAGGATCTCCAACATACCACACGTGTCCACTTTGTATGGGTGGAGGGCACACGTGGTTCAGTCATGTGATCTGTATGAATTCGAATTGTTTCTTTACCCGAGATCCTTGAAAATGGTTATCGTTTACGATCTTTCTTCCAAAGTGGACCTTTTCCTCAGAGACTTTGATTGTGATGGAGATTGCGTGTTCTTACCTCAAATCTGCTCGTCAGTGGTCACTGGCTTCTGTCCGCGTCGTGGGGGCGGTCCAATCTGTGTGCCGTTACAGGGCTAATGGCACACCGCGCCTATAAAGACTTGAAGCCCAATTAGAATCCAGCGAGCGAATTGAGCGTCTCTGCAAACTTCTCCGATGGCACGTGAATTCGAGTATCCTTGGCCCTCCCCTAACCTTGTAAGTCCGAATTTGAAATACTTTCTGTTTGGCAGATTCCCTTATTTCAAATTTGTTCGTTCGTCCCTCATTCGACAAGGCCGAAGTAAGTCGATGATGCAGTAGTTGGTCCTTTGATTCCCAAGGGAAGAAACCATCTGATGCTATTCAAATCATTACAGCTACACAGAGTGAAGGAAAATGTGGGAATCAGAAGTGAATCCCCGACCTGTGAAGTGAATTTCGTTGTGTCGCCATACCGTATCTGCCCTCTGGGTGCCCATATTGATCATCAGGTTTGATATTTATAGCCTGTTCATTTTGAGTTTCTCGTTTGTGTGTGTGTGTGTGTGTGAAAGCCTTCTATGTTTTTCTTAGAATTTGTAATCTATTTCATCCCGTATCGAGACATCCCGTATTCTGCTACTCAAAGTTCGTAATTGAGTCGAAGTAGCTCATGGTTGTTATTTATACAGGGAGGATCAGTGACAGCCATGGCGATCAACAGGGGAGTAGTCCTTGGATTTGTTCCATCCGACGACACGACGGTAGACTTTCTCGTGCCGAGTAGGTAGGATAGTTTAGAGACAAGAACATGCTGTATATCAGGTTGAAAAAGAGAGATACTGATGGTAGGCCATGGGCTGTGGAACAATTCAAATATATATTCCAGATCATTCATATGCAACTACTTTTTTGCTCTATGCGTGTTGTCTCCTTACATTATGGACTTCAGTCTTGAGATTATGCCCATGGTAATAATTGCTGAGCCAGTAATTCCATCCAGGGCACTGACTTAATACACAATGCACGATGATTACAGGTGGTACTCACTAGCAGTCAGTTTAGTGGTACAGTGCACTTCAGGTATGTGAAATGTCCGACTCACTCCCAAGTATCTCATACACCGGAGAATCTGTCAGTTGGGTATCAGATTGGCTGAGATTCTCTCTTCTGGACCAGGGACGTTTACTCTCTCAATTAATCCATCAGTGGACATGCAATGCAGCCTGGACAATTTACTACCTGCAAGACCTTCAAGGATTCATGTCACTGCAACAGAAGATGCTTGGGGAGACTACGCCAGAGGTGCAGCCTTTGCTCTTCAAAACAAAGGATACAAACTTACGAAGGTAATTCTATCAGCTAGTAGTTACGAGAACTCACCGTTATATCGCATTCTCGTATTTCCTTCGTAAAGGACATCGTGTCTTAAAATGCAGAGAACTTCTTGTCATTTGTCAAATATCACGTCAGGACTTGGAAATTGTTTTCTTTTGTCACAGAAGTGTCATCCTGTAGACACGAGTTCAATCATTTGAGCGACCACTTCTCTTACTTCCTCCAAGCTCATGTCTGCTCGTCGAACTCTTTTCTCTCTCCTCCTGGTAGGCTAGCCTTTTGGAATGATGAGTTTGCTGTATAAACTTGAAACCTTTTTGTGAACAACTTGGCTACTTTGGAATCACATGAAACCTGGTCTTATTACGCACATTCCAATAGCGCACAATAGTGATATTTGAAGACCGTAGGATTTCTGTCTGGAACTCAATTCCGATCAACAGACTTTTGTTTTGTTGTACTGCTTACAGAGAAAACACCAGATACGGGATAACACATTGAACCCTGATGAGCGGGGCCAGCTAGCACGTTAAGGCTTCCCATGACCGATGGGCTCTCTATTGAAGGTCGGGCAATTGGTATATCGAACTTCAGTGGTTCCCCTCAGTTGCCCATAGATACCTAGACACTGACGAGGAAGGCTTCTTCTTCGTGTCCACCACGATAAAGGATCATTATTTCCTCCACAAGAGCCGTCTCGTGTAAGAAAACCTGACTGTTTATCGGGAGATGGTTTAGTCCCTTCAGCTTTTGTCTTCCACTCATAGGTTTCAAGTCTGATAAAGGAACTGCTGACAATGAGGAGGGGTGAACTTTCTTCCTTTCAACAGAAACTCCCCTTCTTACGACAGTCAAGTTGTCCCGCACCTACTACTCTCTAGAAGAAGAAAATCTCGCTCTGCTGCTATGCAGCAAGTAGAAGTACTTGCACAGTAACTTCTTTTAAATTATTATAGTCAATAGCATCTGGTCAGGTTGATAGCTTACGTCAAGTCCGTATCAGAAGTGGCTCCTGCTGATGCTGTAACGGGGGTATATTCTATATGGCCACCGTTGAGTTGATATCTCGATTTCGGATAATCAGCTTACGGTGTACTGAATACGAACAGTTGAGTATGTAGGAGATTGACTCTAAGATCAAGCTGTGCCGTTTGAAAACAGGGAATTAGAGGATACATGGAGGGATCACGAGGATTTGATGGGGGAGGTTTGAGTTCTTCAGCAACTGTAAGTTAATCATGTACTCAACCCCGGTAGGACAATGGGGTTTTGTTTTTAACAATTACGAATTTATCTATAGTCAGTGCAGATCTCTGCATCAGGAAGTTGTTTGAGGTTTTTTTTCATGTTTTTTGCATGAATATGAATGTTCGTTGACTGACGTAGGTTTTGTTCAGGTTAACCTCATGTGAAGAGCAGTGGTACCTGAGCTGGTTGCTGCTCTCAATGCTAGTGCTAAAGGTGCTGCATGGAGGTTGCACAATTTCTCTGAAAGAAAGATGACAGGAATCTAGTTGATCTGTGAAGGTTGGAGTGGCGTATCTTTTGGCTCTTGAGCACGTAAATGGGCTTCGTGTTACAGAAATAGACAATGTGGAGCTTGTAAGGCAAGGACAAAAACTCTTTCTAAATTTCCCTGAGAAAATGCGCTGCTGGAGTGGGATCGAGGAATCTTTGCAAGTTCACAATCGACCTAGATGTGAGATGTCAAGCTAGATTGTTTAATTTCATCGTAATTGTTTCTTACCTATATTTCAGGTTCCAGGCAGTAAGATTTAGAAAAGAATGTGCTATTTCTTATCTGATGATTTCTTACTGATTGAACTCACTGTTGACCTTGTCGAGTTGATCCGCAGGCTCATAGAAAATGTATATCTAGGATTGAAAATTGGGGTGCTTGACCAGTCTGCAATCCTTCTTTCTCAGCAGCACTGCTTGAGTCTCATCCATTGTAAGGTGTGTGCTTACTTCTGAGCTGCCCTTGCATTGAAATTTTGAGTCTTTTTCAGATCGATTACAGTATCTTAAGTACGATTTGGACCCTTGCCAGAGTTGAGATACACAACAATGTTTTCCAACATTATACGTTCCAGAGAGTCCACTCTTTTCAATCAGTAGGATGTACTGATTTTCCAGCATAATCTATTTTGCTTTCGATACTCTCAATAATCAAGGATGATGATCCCTAACATAGTAGATGCAAAAGAAAATGATCGGTTGTAGTGAAGTCTGCAATTGATTTATTCGACACAATGCTGTCGTTGTGAGCAAACCTTTTCAATCATTTATGAATATATTGTTGTAAACATTATCTTCTGGATGAATAACAAAAATACGTATTATACACGGTCCAGTTGCCTTACATTTGACATGAGTCGTTTGGGTGATTCGAAGATCCTATGATAATATCTATAAATGAAATCCAATCTTGTATAGTTTTCGACTATCTTACCTATGGGTTCTTCCATTATAATTTGAAGCTTGTAGCCAAAGTTCCAGGAGGGTTGTTACAGGTACAAAATGATTCTTGAGTAGTTTTGTTGGAAGTACACTCACCCTTCGCTTCAGATTTGGCTTTATTGGGTTGTGAGCATAAATTTTTTGCCACGTCAACCAAAGAAGTCAGAGTCGGTGCTTACAGTTTACAATGAGATTTTTATTTTATAAAATGTCTCAGTTTAGTGCAGTTGACGTAAATCATGTGAAAACGAACTTTCTTCAGTGTTCCATTTCTATTGTCTTAGGTATCCTTGCGTGTTATACTCTGTGGTTGATCTTACATTCCTTCATGTTCTACTGACGAGACTCTGGCTGTCTTGTTAATAATCATCTGCAACTTTACTTGATCTTCAGCAGAATATCTGTCGTGGTCATTTCTTTATGAAGTCAACATTGTGAAGATGAGTCGTGTTATTAGCATTTTTCAGGATTTGTGCTATTCAGTACAAACAATTGATATCACAATCTGGAAGTCTACGAGTTCCAACTCTTTGTACAACATGATTCCAGTTAAAAGGTGCCAGTATATGAATGTTATTTCTCTTATATATCTCCACACCAGAAAGTTAAGATCGCCTTCATTAGTGACTGAAAATTAACCTATTTATTTTCTTGCCAGAAATGTTTGCTTGTTTGCTTGTTTTATTGTTTTATATATATATATATATATATATATATATATATATATATTCATTCGAATCACTAAGAAGTAATCACAGGCCAGGTCTCTTCAAAGAAACTTTTGCAGTTACTTTTTGTTGCTAATTTTGTTCAGTAATTAAATTTCAACTCCGGGATAAATCAACAGTTTTTATTTAATTGCATTCTTACAAGCTTGATTACGATGAATCTGATATTGTTGACAGAAAGGTAGTTTTACAAGGAAATAATTGGGTGTCTAAATATACGTGATCCAAGCGGCATCGTGATAAGAGGAGCGGTGATTCAAACGGGGTTTAAGTTTTAGGGCAAGAGTGATTTTTCTCCAAGAATGGAAGTATGGAGTATGTATATTATGAAGCTATAATTCGTCCCTGTCACGGGCTACTGGGTTTCTCTCTCTAACCGTGCTTAACATCTTTGCCTCTCGTATGTTACTGGCTGCTCTTTTTTACGCCTGGAAGTTTGCTCCGCATGTTTGCATTGTCCTCCCGCGTCTTCTCTGTTGACCTTTATCAGTGGTAATATTCTGCGGGTCTCGCAGATATCACCGTAGCTTTAGAAGAGTAATCCATAGACCATTATGGAATGTCTAACGGAAATTATATCCAATCTCACTTTCCCAGAAAGATTTAGGGTGATGTTTCCAACATTAATATTCATTTCCCATCACTTCAAATCCGACATTTTTTGTCCAGTTCATCCTTAGATTCTGAGACAATATTACTTAACTTAGGGTGTGGACCTTAACCCAGATTTGTCATGCATAAGAAGTATCTGCCACGAGTTGAGAAGTCAGTTGTCCTTAGTTCAGTGTTTGAAGTATGAGTCTTCCTCTGATTATCTTTTAGCTCTTCTTCCGTAAGTTTCTTTTCGGGGTCAGCCTTGCGAAATATAGAAAGGATTGAACTTGAACAAGTCCTAATTTTGTATTTAGACATAGGCGTTGAGTTTCTGTAGCCCAGAGTGGACTGCAGGAACCCGAATCTAATTTTTTTCACAGAATTTTGCAGTAGTTTCAGACGCATTTTAGATAATTCTGGAGTCCACATAGGTGAGTTTCCAAGATTGTTATGCAAATGAGAATTGTGATTTAACACAAATGGTAACAACATGAGAAACTTTTGCGTAGTCTATATCAACGAATTTTGCCTTAGTGATTCAACGGTCTGGACTAAAGACTTATATCAGTGTGATTGATAAAGCATGTAATATTCCATTCAGCCTTAATTTCTTAGATACAACTAAATTTAATATTGTAACTTTATGAATATTGTAATGCATATACGATATTCATAAACACATTAGTGATGTTCATCTTTCCCATATTTTCCTTCGATTGAGCAAATTCTGTGACAGGTATTATATCCATTCAATAAGCAATGACTACTCTCAATCAGGTCACTCTCGGTTGAGTATGTCACTTGGTCAACAACAAGATTTTGTATTTGAAGAGTTTCCTTCTACTTCGCCTTTTCTAATTTATACATCGATGTAAGTACCTAAGACTTCGGTTCAGGTGTATTCAATAGTCTCCGTGTCTGATATGGGTGTAGAGAACTCCAACTCCTGGTTCATGGTCGCTTGCCAGTCGTGTTATCCAGACCAAAAAAAACCCTCAGGTAAGATCTCTAAGTGATGCACTGGTCGGACCTGTAATAAGCTACGCCTGTCACTTGAGTAACGAGATAATTTGACCTATACTGTAATCATTCATTTTTTGCCTTCACATCTCCTGAAATTATGGTCATTACTTATATGCCTGTCAATCAACTGGAATTCAAAATGAGAGATCTAAACCACCCCCTAACATAGATTGATCATAAATTAAAATGATTGTCCGTTGACAAGGTGCCTACATCTTTGTAATTTTGAGTCTGAGTAGAAAAATTTGACGGTCAGGTCTGTAACACTAAATCCGTATTCCTGCTTTTTGGCTTCAGGCTATCCTGACTGTAACTCGAGACACCATATTAAAAGTAATTGGTCATAATTTACTGTGAGGCTGTAATCCAGAACACTGTCCTCCCTATTCTATTTTTCTTCGGAATGACATTTGCCTCACCCAAAACTCCTGGATTCTCCACTTTTGGTTTAAGTTCTCATGGGTTCAAGAGACGGTGAAGTAAGAAAAGTGTTGTTCAGATTTAACTAACAAATCTATGCTCTTTGTGTTAGTGAGGCTGATATACGGTCAGTGCCACATGACTTGAACCTTTATACCTCGTCTATAATGGAATGTAATTGTGTCGATGTTGTAATGGCTGTGAATCTATTTTGTTTGCATCTGCAAATATTACGAAGGATATAACCCTTTAGCTTCGACATCGATTCTTCTAATCTTATGAAGGATTATGCTTTATACATGAAGCTCACAAGTGGTGTTTATCCTTCGTTTTGTGCCATTACATTGATGTTCCTCTGTCATTTCTTGTTCAGAACTTGGAGTATGAAATTATACCACCTCGACAGCACCACTTTGAGTCCTTCAAAATCCTGATTGCATTTTCAGGTCTTCGACATGCCCTCTCGAGCAAACCAGGCTACAATATGAGGGTCAAGGAATGTCAAGATGCTGCACGAATTCTACTCAAGTAAGTCTCTATACAAAGTTTATTTCGAGAAACATTAACAATCCACGACTTTTCTTCAATATTCCATTATGGGATCGTCAATGTTTTCTTCTGAATGTTGACTGATTGCTTTGTGCTCGGATCTTTCTTTGTAGGCTTGTTGGACGGGAGTCAAGTGAAGCTTTGCTTTCTAACGGTAGGAGTGCAAGTATTTACTGATTTAGCTGTTGTTCTAGAGTTTTCTTCTCATACCTTAGTATTCATATTCTGACATGGAATATCGCCACTCTGATTTTGTTTTCGACAGTCACGCCAGAGGAGTACTCAAAGCATAAGGTGAATGACATCTCAACTTTCGTCTTTAAGTCATGTTGGTTTCTGTTCAGCATCACTTCCAACGGGAGAAGTATCTTTGCAAGGAACTGATATGACATTAGTTGTTCAAAATAACGTACTTTAGGAGGTCCAGAACAAATAAACTGCTTGAGTCACAACGCAGTGCTAAACGGTCACGAACATCATGCCTTTGGCAGGGAGAAATGGAGGGAACTTTGGCTAGGAGGGCAGAGCATTTCTTCACTGAGCATGAGCGGGTATTCGCCGGTGGGTTGATTACTTTGAATTTTGATTTTTATCAATAACTATTGTTACTTATAAAAGGGTATGTCAGATATTTTTTCTCCGATAGATATTTCTGTCAGAACACTTGTAAGGACGTAGAATGGGATGAATACTGGAGGTGGGGGAATAGTGGAAGCCCTTTCTTGGGTGAGATATTGATGAGATTTCTAACTTGCATCATCATCATCGTTTCTTATGACAATTGCAGGAATACAAGAGTGGAGGAAAGGAAATATTGTAGAATTTGGCAAGTTGATGTCAAGATCCGGTCAAAGCTCCATCGAAAACTATGAATGTGGTAATAACATCCCCTCTAAATAATCGAAGGCTTGATTCTAATGGCACAACTCAAAGCTAGATTAATCAAAGATTTGATAGTTCTCTTCGACCTTCAAATCTGCCGACATGAGGAAAAGTTATCACAAAACCCCATTAGACATATCCCAAAACCTGTTCGATAGATGCAATCAGTCATTTGTCATGTCCTGGTTTGTCTCATCTTGTAGAGGTATCCAAGTCGACCAGGCAACGTTTGGGACTCAATGTTCCGTATACCGAAGACTATCAATGTAGGCAGTTCCAAATCATCCAATGAGCTGCATTCAACTTCAGAACGAAACCGTGCGAACTTCCTTCATAATTACTCAGTTCGAATTAAGTGGTCTTGCTTCTCCAACTAACTTGCAAATCCTCACAATATAGTCAGTTCAATATCATATCGTGAGGTGAATTCTAGCTGAAGATTCAAACAAGTTAAATCATAACTCAAACTTGAGCTCATTACATTTAAAGAAAATTTAAAATCTGATGTAACAGGTTGCGAACCCCTCATCCATCTGCGGGAGATACTCCTGGATGCACCGGGTGTGTATGGAGCACGGTTCTCTGGAGCTGGTTTCAGAGGTTGTTGTGTGGCATTTGTGGCTCCAGATAAGGCTGAAGAAGCTGTGGCATATGTTGACAAGATGTACAAGTTAGCACAGCCCGAACTTGCCAAGGAGATCAAAGAGACGCCAATAGCTGTCATATGCGAATCTGCAAACAAAGCTTACATTTTATAACAGATGTTTTCAATATACCTGGTCTCGCACCACATTGCATGCAAACCAAGTGTTCTCTTTGCAACCGGACACGATTTATGGTATAAAGCAGAAAGGGGTATGCCTTATTTGTTGGTGGATCAGTGGGAATGTTCTTCGTCCGCATGAACCTATATTTTGTCATCGGTTAGAAGCTTTCTGATTCTACTAGTTACAAATATATAAGCTTTCTTGTAATCAGTTAATAGTAGTGAGACTTAAGTATCGAGAATGCTTTGCCTTCATGATCAGCTTGACCCTCTAGGAGTACATGACAACCTGAAAGGGCCGATGGTCTCTCACTGCTTGCAAATGCAAGCAAAATCACTCCTTACTCCATAAATAATTGTCAAACATATAATTGTCATGCATAATTCTAGTGAATCATCAGTGTTTATGTGTCAAATGAAGCTTTTTATCAGATTAGAAACGTGCGCCTTCTGAGCTCCGTAATCAACACAGATCAGCTGAGGAAAGTTGCTCTTTTCCCTTCAGATGTTTTTTAATCTTCATTTACTTTGTCTTGCAAACCACGGTGGGCATATTATACAACCTTGAGCTAGATATGTGTACTTATTGAAGTGAGGATGAAGGATGGAATCATGAATACTTTTCACACTCCGGCCTCAATAGCGATGGCCCAAGTCCATTATTGATATGAGCTGTCACTTCTTCACCCCGAATTCTTTAATGTCATATTGAATCTACATGCACCTCTAGTACAAACACTTTAATCACCGACTATGCGATATCCATATGTTCCTCATTGTGAACCCTCTACCATGTTCAAAATGTGACTAACTTTCATCTCGTGGCGAGAAATATCCCCGCATGTCCATTTAAAGCGTGTACTTTTTTTCATATCTGTATAACTTCCATTCTGCTCTTAGACTGGCTCTCCTGCCCGGGAATTCCCAAAGCACTTCAAGTGGACGGCACGAAGTTCGTTGTGCGAAGTATATTATAAATCGGAACGTAGAATTCTGCAAACAAAATGCGAAGCGAATTGTGTGGTCAAACTTCTGGAAAAAAAAAAGCTCTGTTGGCGACAAGCCTTCATGGTCGTGTGGTCCAAGGTAGGACCGTGGACAACCTTATCCAGTTCCCATCGTTATGCCTAAGCATGTTTCCCAGACAATGTGGATGTGAGGTTCACGAAGTACGTGCAACACTTGGTGAGGGGAAGTGAAGTCGAGTGAAGTCGAACGAGATGCATTAATGGCATTTTCGAAGCTGCTCGTGTGAAAAATGGTTCCGGTTGGAGAAATACACGAGATGTCGAGTATACTCATGCGATATCCAGTCCCGAGATCCCGAGTTGGTAAGTGAAACATGCAGTATAGGGCATTGGAAAAGTTTCGGGCAATGCTTGTAACGTATTCACAGGACCAAAAGTATTCGTAAAGAAACTGTCGGTTCAAAAACGGAAACCTTTCCCTGACACATTGGAAATCCGACATTATTGCCTTTGGACTTGACACTGCAATATTCATTTGAAGGTCTCATGGACATGCTGGACTGATAGGCCATCGTGCACGCCTCTAATGCCTGGAATCCAATACTTTTCCAGCGACATTCTGGTGTCGCTCAACATCCTCCTCGTCTCTTGACAAAAAAATTTAGTACACATCCAGTACAATCTGGTCATGGCTGCACTGTCTGCAGATCAGATCATGCTGTACAGGATAAAGGTCAAATGATAGATGCCCACTGCCGAGTACATCCTGCTGCATATGGAAGGAGGCTGGATGGATGCATCGGCGGGTGGATTACTGGCAAGCAAGCCCGGTTCATCGTGCTCGCAACTCCGTAAGCTTCTGCCAGGACATTCTTCCAATCAGTTCGTTCGGACTTCGTCTCGTCCCGCCCCCGCCATCCTCATAACGCTTGCAGGTTCAGTCATGGGTTCACTTTGCTGCCGTCCCTCCCGTTCATGGTGCATAAAAATCAGAGCTTAGGTTGTACATAGGTCATCGAAGCTCCATTCGTCCATTCGTTCGAGGCTAAGGCTTCTTCTGCAGTGCTAGTGCTGCTGCTGCAGCCGGGTGAGGAAATTCTCATCCGCGTGCGCGTGCACATGCAAGTGGATTTTCATTATGCATGTTCTCATGGCAAGCCCCGGATACTTGCGGGTCAAGTAAATCGGGCTCCATCATGCTTGAGCTCGAACCGAGGTGGGATCTGCTGCCCGGGAGGATAGTTGACGAAGCCCTTGTCTGTGTCATCCGTATCAGGCTGCTGCTTACTCTATTCTCCTGATATCATGATACATCGATGATGAAGGTCAAATTTCTGTAGACCGCGATCGCTTCGCATGTGGACAATGACCTGGATCTCTTAAAAAAGACTTGTCATCACATCCGATTGACAAACATTCTGCTGAACACGTGTGACTCAGTTGATCGCTCACGGCGTCGCTGGACGGTGCTAATCTCTCTCGGCACAGGATGAAAAAAAAAGCTCGCAGACTCTATGAGACTAAGCGGCACATCATCCTCCCGCTCGCTCGCCGAGATTGATTTGGTGAACACAATGGGCTCCGAAACAATCATTGCCTCCGGAATGTGGATCGCCTAATGATGGATTTCGGGAGGTCCATTGCATGCAGGGAATAGGCATGCAATCTCCGTGTTGGCCGTGTGGTCAGTTGCAGCAACATGTGTTGCTGGTTCAGTTGAGATCTCGCCATTTTGTTCTTCTGACGGCGATTTGACGGGCCAAGTCGAGATCCACGACTTGTCATTCCGTTCAAGTTGAAACTGGATCTTGACTTTCCCGAACCGAACTCATTTTCCAGATTATATTTACGAAAATGTGTTGGTACCCGACGGCATGTTGACCTCGGCGATGGGTAGCGTAGTGCGCCCAAACCTCAAGCTACTCACAACTCACAAGCCATCTCCATCACTTCTGACTCGACAGATCTTAATTGTCTTTCTCAATTGCTTCCTTTTTTTTTTCGTGCTGTCTGAACCTGCAACGTGAGTCTCATCCTCATCTGCCACTCGACAACCTCTCACACAAGCTCCGCCATGTTTCTCCTGCGGTCCATCGACAGCGCTACCGCCCTCGCTGACGGCTCGTCCCTTCCTTTGACTTCTCCCCAAAACGAGTCTCATCTTCCTCCTCCATCTTCTTCTTCCGTAACGTGACCCTCGAGTTAATCGTTTGGTAGAAGGAGCCCTCGTCGAAATTATCACGTCGGGCACATTTAACACGCCGCCATGAGACCATGAGATCGATCGGTGTTTGGATCGACTCGGGATTAAATTTCATGCGCAGTTTCGTAGTTCGGTGCATGATCGTCCGTGCCCCGCAGCAGCGGCCATCATCCGATCGGTACTCATGGTTGCGGTTGCGCATGTGCACTCCTGATTGACGATCACGGAGCTTCTCGAAAGATTCCTCCCTCGCCGATCCGATCTGGCCCTTTCTCTTGGATCCATTCTCGCTCCGAAGTGCGACGAGCGAGACGACGCTGCAGCAAATCATGATACACAGCGAATCCCGAGCGTTGACAATGTGGACCTCAGTCGCCACGAGAGAGTCTCTCGAATTTCGTGGTTTGATAAAACATTTAATTCATCTTTGAAGCCGTCTAGGCATCTATTTTTTTCTAAAGCTTTGAATCAATATAGAAGAGAGTAAATTAACGACAAAATCTTAAGAATCCACATTAAATTACTGTGATAAGAATGAATGATATGATACTAAATTTCCTGCATGTGTTTATGGCTGCCATTCGGAAAAAATATAAATTCTCGCTAGTTGTTGGAATTAGCTCTTTTGTCAAGAGGTTAGAACGATTTGCTCAAGGTGTTCGTTACTGTAACAGATTAAATTAGGACTAAACTAAGCACAATTCAATCTTTTAACCAAAAATTTGGGACTGGTTTAATGATTTACGTGAGTCAAACTATTCTGAAACCCCGAAAACCCTAACTTCATTTTGATTTTTTCTTAATTAATGCATATTAGGACACAAATGATTTTAGCTTTGGGTTTTGTGCTTACAATCTTAGAATTTAATTGTATATAGTTTTATATTGAACTTTAAATCAATGTGCATAATAATATTTTCGGAAGATAACTCAAAAGCGAACATTTGATATCTATGTAGCACACGTTATATCATTTTATATAATATAACTAAAGGGACTAGAAAAACTTTTGAAATTGCAATTTAATGATAAATTAAAAATTTACTGTTAATATTTGTAATTCAAGCGGGAATTAAATTGGAAGTTGTTTATAAACCAATCATATGATATATGGTGAACCATTTGAGTAAGTTGCATGCGGACGATTTCTTTTCTCGCTTGAGTAATCGTGTCAATCAAGAATTTCAACTGACCAAGATCTCTTTGCGTAGATAAAATATTTATGGTGTTTCAGCTAATTGACGTCATTCATGTACATCAATCTTAGATCACAACTTCGAAATTTAAAATTAAATTCATATTTTTTCTATCTATGGAGAAATATCTATTTTTGTCACATAGACGTTATCAGAATAGTTGAATGCTTCAAAGTTTGCACACCAAAAATTTGCTTTAATGCAGATTCAATGTGACCGAAAGCTCTGGCATATATCAGTATATCCACATGCAATTCTGCTGTTCAAATCGTGAAATGATTTCCTCACATCCACATTTTATTTAAAAAAATATTCAGAAAGTAAGGTCACATGAGACAAGAAAACAAGATGTTCGGGAACAATCTTGTTCAACCTTCCAATGAACGTCTCCGACATGCAAGTGGCATATGATGCAAAGAAAAGAAAAATAACTTTTCGTACGAAAATCTTTAGATTACATTTGACGGCCAATATATAGCCATCTACATTATCATCTTCCAAGTCAGGCAGTCCTTTTTCTTCATTTGAGTGGGCCAGTAGTAGAACATTCTGATCTCCAATCCGAAGCAAAAAAAACATTTCAAATTTCAGTCGCGTTGAAATTCCTCCAATGAAAAGGTGGCGAAATGAATCACAACGTCGATGGCCAATCATTTCGCCTGGACAGATTACGAGAACCTCCCCCACTTTCCACTCGCCTACGATGTTTGAATGGATCACATCTTGAATATTCTTTCGGCGATGATGTTTGACCGAAATGCGATTCCAACATGCTCACTTCACTTTCACCCCCAAAAGCATCTCGAGCACGAGAGGATAACGTGAGTGCAGGTCAGAAGTCGGCAGATGGTTCCCAGTCCCGGATCCATAGTGGTCGATTCCTTCGCCATTTAATGTGAACAAATCGGAAAATTTGACCTTCACACATTGCGTTTCATCACAACTTTAACTTTTTTTGTACCGAGCAGATTGATTGCAATCAATCTGCTGGGGCACATCTGGCCCGAGG